TCGATCTGCGCACGCAAGGAGGTGCTATTCCTGTTCTTCTTCTGGAAAAACGAAAGAGAGCTTCAAAACAGACTGCAGCGCCATCTGAAGCAAAGAGCATACTTCCTGCGGACACTTTTTTGGCTGAGTGGCCCATCTTGTTATTTACTATCTTTGGCTGAGTGGCCCATCTTGTTATTTACTATCTTTGGCTGAGTGGCCCATCTTGTTATTTACTATCTTTGGCTGAGTGGCCCATCTTGTTATTTACTATCTTTGGTACTGACTGCCGTGGAGTTGGCTGTTAATGTTGTAAGATATGTATAGAAATATTTAATGCATAAGTCAATGTCTAAGAAGAACTGACTCAAAGAACTTGAACAGATGGGTTTAGGGAAAAGATTGGAACAAAATGGGTTGGGTTTTTTTTTTAGAGCATCAGCAGAGAAATTAGTGACCAACTCATTACTGGGGATTCCTGTTTCCCGGTCCAGCACTTGAAGAAGGAGATCACATTCAAACACTCTCATTCATTTTTTCTCTTGTAAATTTGTGTCCTATAGGTTATTCTGGTCATTTGTGACATCAAATTATGTTGTACCCGCTACTTGGGATTATATCGCATAGCATCAGGTAAAAGAAAGCGAGGGGGGGTTGTCAAAAGTATTATAATTATGGATAGTTCCTATTGAAAAGACTTGCTGCTTGGTGGATTTTTTAAAAATGCTGTTCAATCTGTGAGGGGCATTTTATCTGCTTCCCTTATTTTAAAGTTTTTTTTTTTTTTTTTTTAATGTTAAGCCTTTTTCTGGGTGAAAATTTTACATCAATAGTGCTTTACACAGAAAACGAGGAGAAGTCTTCTGATATCAGAGTGATATTATTGGATCTGTTGCAATGAAACCTACTTGCAGATTCGACTGAGTGTGATTGTGTGATGGCTTTTTGATGCGAGTGTGAAGTGCGTGTCTTTCTAGATATGATGGAATAAGATGATCTTCCTTTTTGTTTTGTTTTTGTTTTGACAGTGTGTTTTGTAATTAATGAATGACTGAATGTCTGACTTTGAGTGCGCTCAATGTTGCATCTTTGTGAGCTGCTTAATCCTCTTTACTCAACAGAGGAGATGTTTGACACTTTGTGCTGCATTGTTTTATGAATATTCTTGACTCAGTAAGCTAAAGATGGAAGGGGGGAAATAAATAAAATAGTCTCTGGTTTAACCCTATCCGTACGCCCTGGGGTCATTTTGTACCCACAGGATTGCTTTCTTCACATTTTAGAAGACTTCTAGTACGAAGATCTCTTTGAAACTTTCAGTATTTCTAAAAAAATCATTTTGACAGATGGATCGGATTAACAGTTAATTTCCTTTTTGGAAAGTGGTGGCACAGAGTTCCCCTCGTCGTATGGGTACGATATTGAAACACGACGTACAGATAGGGTTAAGGGATCATATTTTTTTTCTTTGGTACTTGAAAGTGACATGTTTTGTAATGTATACACAGCATTGTGGAGACTGAGAGAAGTTTCTTCTGAATGTTGCACTAGTGCACCATGACGATCAAGTCTTACTTATTGGACTTGGATACAGAAGAACTGTGATTTCTCTTCAGAATGTTCACATTAATTTTCTTGGGGGGGGGAGGGGGGGATAGTTTTGAAGGTTTTCAGCAGAGTGGGCAACTGGCAACATTTTTAGTTTCTGACACATTGTGCCTTAGGGTTCAACTGAATGCTAGCATACCACATTCAAGAATGTTGCAGTTTTTGTTAACAGTCTGTAATTTGAAAGGAATCCATATATGGAATTGAATTTGTAGATTTAGAATCCTTGATTTATATACACATTTTTATGATTTGGTGTTTTGTCTTTGGCCGTAATTTTTGGTGAAGACTGTTTCCAGTGAATATTTTTTCATTGAGTACATGTTCAGAAATTAAACTGGTACATAAGTCAAATTTATCCACTGTCAATGATATACGGATAGTTTATTTGTAATATAAGACTACAATATGAATTATTCATTTGGGCCATTGTTAGGGGGGGGGGGGGGGGGAGAAAGAATGTTTCCTGATATCTTGAAATGCACTAACTGAATTTTAAGAGCTGGGGTGGGGGGAGAAGGTCCTATATATTTGAAAACACACTAAAATCATGCTTTGTTGGCTCAGAAGGTAAGTCAAAATAGGCATTAAGTTCAGGATTTGGAAATGATATAATTTAACACTTGTAATTTATTAACTGATTGAGTTGATTGTGTTTATGAAAGAAGCATGCATACTGGTATCATTTTAAAACAACTGTTGTACATTTCAAGCTGCCAAATTTCATTCATGACATGATGTAAAAACATTGTACTGTGAATTAAAATCGAAACAGCTCCTTCAAATACCTGTTGTGTGCCTTAATTTTGTTTATAATATTTTGGATTTTTTGTTTTGTTTTTCTGTTTTATAATTAGATCTATAAATTTATCAAAGTTAAGATGGTGCACATTTTTCAGAGATATTTTATAGTACATTTGGATTTTGTTTGTCTGTACATGATGAATATTTCCTTTGAAACGCTTGTCACACTATAGTACTGCTAAGTTATAACTGTCAGTGAACTATATCTTGCTGAGGTCTGAGAAAAGAATGAAAGGAACTCAGTAAGACCAGTTCTTTCATCTGACTGCAAAGCTTAGTGGGTAGTTGGCAGGTACTCTAGTGTAGTTTGCTCCTTCTTTACTATCGATCAAACATCTATCTTCCTTATCTCCCCATCTTCTTTTTTGTGTTTGTTACTCTCTTGTAACTCTAACACCTCTAATCTTTGGCACTTATATGACCTTATTATGTTGCCAGTGCCGTAAAACTTACTAAAAGTAAAACTAAAATATATTTGAGTCTCCTTATGAACCATTACGTAAGTCGCGATGGAGGAGAGGGGTGGGGTGACGCTTGTACAGACTGGAATTTGACTTTTTCTTTTTGAAAGAATGCAAAAATAATCAGTTATACTGTGGAACTCGGATTAAACGAAGTTGTGGGGCCTGACATTCACTTTCCTTGAATCGGAGCGTTCCTTATAGCAAACAATGGGTTTAAGTGTAGATAATTACAAGAAGCGAGCAAGTAATGTATAATATATTAAATTTGACTTTCTCGATCAAAAGTCGTTTGGTTTCAAGTGAGGGGCACTTTCGTTTCTTTGATGCCATACCGAAGAAATGCTGGAAAAATCTAGGAAAATGCACTGAACTCCACCGAGCACACGCTGTGCAAAAGAGTCGATTCGTTCAAATGCATCATGTCTGTGTCTTCTGTCATCTATAAGTACTATTACGTATCTTTTGCCGAACAAGTTCTGTTGCAGTGCATAGCCTAGCATACAGCAAGTGGGTTGTTGGCAGGTGCTCTGGTATGGTTTGCTTCTTCATTCCTATCAAACATCTATCGTCCTTATCTCCCCTTCTTCTTTTTTATGTTTGTTACTCTCTTGTTACACCTCTAATCTTCTGGCGCCCATATGACCTTATGCAGTTGCGAGCGCCGTAAAACCTCTACTAAAACTAAAACTAAAGCATACGGCAACGTTTGATGCCACAGACCAGCTCACAGTTCATTATATAGATCTACATTGTCTGTCAAGACAAGCTCATATTTGTAATTTGATCAGTGGTTGGGAGCGGGGGTGGAGGAATTACTATGAGTAGCCTACTGTGACGCGTTTGTATCTCTACTGACTACTGAGGTTCCAGCCCATACTGCTTGTGCCCTTTTCAACCCAGACTGCTGCTTCTTCTTTTCTATCAACCATCTATCGTCCTTTTCTCTGCTTCTTCTTTTTTATGTTTGTTACTCTCTTGTAACACCTCTAATCTTCTAGCGCTCATATGACCTTATGCAATAGATAAATTTTGTTGGAGGAGAAAAATGAGCCCAGTCACGTCAGTGGGGGTTGTTCACCCTGCAAGCGACATCGTTGAATCCGAGCTTGCTCATTTATTTTCATGTGTTTGTTAAAATCGAGGGTTTTTAAAAATTGATTTTAATGCATTTAAATTTAAAAAATACCCGGAGAATTCATCTCTTTTCGTTGAATATGAGTTTTGTTGAATCCGAGTTCCTCTGTATAAATCAACTGACAAGGGTTCCATGTTTATCATCGGTTAATTTTTCTGTTCAGAGGGCACAATCGTCATCGTCATCATCATCATCATCATCATCATCATCATCATCATCATCATCATCATCATCATCATCA